TTTTTTCTTCAAAAACTACAATATTCTGTGTTTTCTCATTTTCTTCAATGATAGGGTCACTGCAGTTTGACTAATATAAAAAAATATTTATTTATTTTCATAATTGGATTAAGTGGTTTAATATTTATAGGTAAGAATTTATTTTAGAAAATATTATAAAGTCAAAACAATAAAATAAAAAAGTCATGAACAATATTATAAATATTATGTTATAAAGTCGACGCGACGCGACGGCGGAGTATGAAGTCTTAAAAATGTATTAAAATTAATTTTAAAACCATATATACAGTTCAATAATTTGTTTTTTTCATAATATTTATATGAACCTACAACGTATCTTCTAATACAAATTATACATTTTTGATTTTTTTCTTTTCTCTTCCATTTTCTCCGAGTTAGATTGAAAAATTTAAATCCTGTACAGTAACCACGTTGCACAACCAAAATATCAAAATGGCAAAATAATACGTTCTGCATTCAATGTGATACTGCCCGACTGCCGGTTTATAATATTTTCCGACGCCCGTTTGTGTATATTTATTATTTATACCCCTATTACATTATACGATTAGTGTAAAGTCGTAAAGATAAGAACAGTCGTCGCTCGTCGGGTGTCTTGTCACTAATCGCTTACAAATATTTATTTATAGATTTTATCATGAAACCGACCAATGTTAATGTTATATAAGTAATAATATATGCATTAAATACCTACTAGCACGACCGAAGCTGTAGAAAACTAACAAAATAAAGATGACAATTTAAAATTAGTAAAATACAATTTAAAACTTTTTGAGCGAATATTATAGACCAGAGGTTCCCAAACTTTTCATACTCGTGGCGCCCTTTTAGAACTGAAGTTTGCTCATGGCGCCCTTAATAAAATTTACGACTTTTTTTTTAAATAAAATAGATAAAATAAGAAACATGTTTAATTTTCAATAGATAATATGGAAGTATTTATTTTATATAATTACACACTGAAATATTTAATTTTAATTTTATTAGGTAAAATAAATTAGACTTAGTTTATTTGTAGAAAACAATTGAATTAGTGAGATGAATGAGCCTGGACATCACTGCATATTTTTTCAAATCTTGGGATCAAACTTGATACTGCTACTCTCATTTCCTTCTCCACATTGATTTTTGACCGATATTTGCTTTTGATCACAGCGACCGCCGAAAACCCAGCTTCACATAAATATGAAGTAGAAAACGGAATTAAAACACGTAGAGCTTTTTCACATACAAGTGGATATTCATTTTTTATTGAAATCCAAAATTTGGTCAATTCCATATTGGTAAATTTTGATTTCAAGCTACTGTCGCAAGACAACTCAATTAGACTTTCTTCTTCAGTAGAATTAAATTCTGATGGAACAATGGAGTTAAATGGATCTTGAATCCATGCAAATTTATCAATGTCTTCATTTTTTAAAATATTTCTCAAACCATACCACTAGCTGTGATAAGTGATCTTCAAAAATGGATTTCATATCTTGAGAAATCTCAACTGTATTAGAGGTCAGAAACTGCTGCAATATGGAAAATGAATCTTTGCTCGTGCCTTCATTCATTTGTCTTCTCCATAGTTTGAGTTTTTTTATAAAAGCTGTCATTTTATCCATCGACTTTAAAATATGCGTGTTATTTCCCTGCAATGAGGTGTTCAATGCATTCAGTTTTTCAAAAATGTCACACAAGTATGCCAATTTTATTAAAAAATTTTCGTCAGAAAAAATCATTGGCATATTTGTGCCCTTCTTCTTTAAGAAATATGTAAATTTCTTGCCGCAGTTCAAACGTACGTGATAAAACATTACCACGAGACAGCCATCGTGCATTGCTGTAATACAACAAACTTGAGTGTTCAGCTCCCATATCATCACATAATTTTTTGAAAAAATCTAGCCTTCAGGGGACGAGTTTTTATAAAATTGACTACATTCACTACACATTCTAACACTTGGTTCAGCGCAGGACTTAGATATTTTGCCGCAAGTGCTTCTCTATGGATAATGCAATGGGTCCACAGTGCATCAGGGGCTTTGCTTCTAATAAGTGACTGTAATCCTCCATAACTGCCAGACATGGAACGAGCGCCATCAGTACAAACACCGACGCATTTTATCCAATCTAACATATTTTCTGACATAAAATTATTAAGAATATCAAATAAGTCCTGGGCCTTAGCGCTTGCCGTAATATTTTTACAAAAGAGTAGGTCTTCTACCATGTCATCACCATCTATAAACCTAACATAGCATATCAAATGAGCATCCTTATTATTATCCGTAGCCTCGTCCAGCTGCAACCCGAATTCCTTTTCTTTGATTTTTTCTATCAATTGATCATTAAGGTCCTCCGCCATATGGTGAATTCTGCGGCTAACCGTATTATTGGATAAAGGCACTTTTGAGAGTAATTTCCCAGCAGATTCACCAACCATAATATTTACCATATCTATAGCAGCTGGTAAGATAAGCTCTTCTGCAATGGTATGGGGCTTCTTACATTTCGCAATTCTATAGGAAACTTTATAAGATGCAATCAAAGCATTGGTTGGTATTGATGCATTCTTGAAAAACGTACTTTTTTCCTGTTTTAGTTCTTTTAACTTTCTAATAAAATAATCGCGAGGTTTTCCAATCGTATACTTGTGGTTTGCTTCTAAATGGCGCTTCAATTTACTCGGCAACATGCATTCTGGTGCCAAAACTTTCATACATAATACACATAGTGGTCTCTCTTCACCATTAATTTCTGTTGATGTAAAACCAAAATCCAAATAACTATCGTCATACTTACGACATTTTCGCTTTTTTTACCGTTTCACCGCGACTGGTTGATGGTAAAATTTCTTCGTCTTCTAAAGTACTCGCACGTTTACGATTGTTTAATAAAAATCGATCCATAATTAAACCCAGAACAAATTTATAACTTAAAGAAAATCACAGAACTCACTAAATATATATTCTTAAGAAACTTGAACAAATAATAACACACCGAGACTGATATATGAGTGTATAGTTAATCAATACTAACGCAAAAACGAATTTAACCAGACACGAACAGTCGTTTATCTTTATCAAATACAATAATTGGTTAGTATAGTAATAATAACTGACTATAGGAAAGCAGCATTTTTAATAATGAAGATAATCAAAATGACCGTGTCGTTATCGTAAAATATCCTTGTTTATTTTTAGAAAATGGTCGGCAGCGAGGCGCAGCCGCGGCTCCCTTGACTATTCACCGCGGCGCACCAGGGCGCCGCGGCGCACAGTTTGGGAACCTCTGATCTAAGTAATAAAAGAAAAAAATACTTAAATATTTATACGTATGCTTTAGTTAAATAAATGTTAAGTGAATGAAAAATGTGGAAATCAATCAAATTAAACGTTGATAAGTTTCGTATACGTTTTTCTACCCTCATTAACCAAATCTTCATCAGTCTATATATAGCGTTAATATTATCTTTATTTCTTGAAATGAGCAAAGGTGGGTGGGAAATTTGATGAAAATAATTAACTCGAGTTAAGTTAAAAGTTAACAGTTAACAATTTATAAATTTACCTCAATAAGTAAAAAGTTAATAAGGAAAACAATATTAATTTAACTCAGTTTAAAAAAAGTTGATCTACTTTTTTAAATTAGTATGTAGATCGCACTGCGTATCTTTATAAAGATCTAATATCCTTAATTATAATAAACAATTTAATTTCATTTTTTATCATAATATACAGCAGTGGCGCCGATGTTTTTGAAAAATACTATGACATTATACATCAAAGGGCCACTCATCACCGAATTTATTTATTTTTATAGTATTATAGTATTATGATTTATAGTATTCTTTATACATAATATTCTGTATCCACGGCTAAAAACAAATACCCAAAGGTGGGCCCTCAACCTACAAAATTTAATATAACATCTAATGTACAGTGTATGCGACTAATTTACTTAAATGATTATTTAATTTTTATATTAATATTTAACAATTTATTTTATTTTGTTTTATTTTGTTACGTAGAAATGAACAATTTCAAAAATGTTTAACTTGATAGATCATTTTTAAATCAACTGTGAAAAGCTAAGTTATTTCAACTGCCCAGTGGCGTATTTGAGAGTTCATGTCGAGGGGGGGGGGCGAATTTAAAAAGAGTTTACCCAACTACTCACACAAATTTACCAAGACACAATGAATTTTATATTTCACCTGTATAACCTATAAAGTAATAAGTCTTTAATTTTAAGCAATGTAAATATATAAATATACAATAAATATATTTATATAATATACTCGATTTCGTTAAATTAAATTTTTAAGTCAAAGATTTGTTTTCTTTGAATCGACTTAAACATAATCAACTAGGTTACCGGGGACTAATGACCCATGGGAATCTAGTTTGCCAGTGATCTACATGTACCACAAACTTTGTGGTACATATTATGTCGTCATGGTAAAAATGTATGTACATTTTTATCACGGTTATCTAGATAACCGTGATTTTTACCAATAATTTGTTATCATCAACACAATTTTTCGGAATTTTTGTTTTTTTAATGAAATACTCAAAATACCCTATACCCATTAGTTATATAAAATTTTCCTAATCTAAAAATTCTCGAGGGGGCGATTGCCCCCATCGCCCCCTTCAAATACGCCACTGCAACTGTCAATTAAACTAGTTAAGTTAAAAAGTTTATTAGAAAATTAACTTTTTAACTAGTTAATGCCCACCTTTGCAAAGGAGTTTAGGCTTTGGATGAATGATTAATGTTTTAAAACAGGGTTATTTTTGTTATAATCAAAAATAAAATTTCTATATGTAAGGATGTTTTTTGTTATAATTTGTTTTACGTACGAAATTAACTTCATATTATTATTTACTTGTCAATGTAAAAACTAATTAAGCCATACGGTGACTAATTTTGCCGGGTTGTCGTAATAGCATAGTCGGAGTTCAATTAAGTGGGGAGACAACGAAACGAGACAACAGAACAGACTGGCTATTATTTACAGCGTTGGTACATACGATAACAGTACAATCGTTGAAGATAAAATTCTGGTTTCCTATCTATCAAAGTTATTTTAAACTTCCGTGGTACCCATCAATCGATGGCAAAATTTTTTTTCCATTAATAGTTAGATTCCTATTAGTAATCTACAATACATACTAGTAAAAATCTGACAACTTTGTACACAATATTTTTTTTACCGTGCTCAATCGGGTCGCATATAAGCATTCTATACATGAGCTCGGCACCTGTATTAAAGTCAAGCTTTACGATTGGTTTATTTGAAAATACCGCCAAATAGTTTATATAATCAATAATATTGTTATCATAGAATTATGATGTATTATATGAAATCAAATATTTATCAAAAAAATAGTGATTGTCAGGCAAAAATCAAAATAACCTTGTAACTAGTATATTATTGTCTTATACTATTATATTTTATAGGAAGGTGCAATGTTAATTCAAGTAATATTGTAAACCTACCTAAATATTCAATTTGAAGAGTAATTTAACAGTGGTCTTGGTTAATTATTAATCTTTGTGATTTACACAATTATAGTAGGTATTATAATATAACTATTAATAATTATAATATAGAACTTTTTCAATACCTAATTAAATAATGATAAAAGTTTTAAAAGTTCTATGATAGCAATATTATTATTGTAATTTAACTATATAAAACAATACACAGTATGATAACATTAATACTATTATAGGTACTGATTAGTGATTAGAATTCATATGTAAAATTAGTACCTATTGAGTTTAAATATAACATCAATTATTATTTGCTGGACACTCATTATTTTTTGGACCTTCCTTTTACACTATCCATTTTAGATTCTGAGTGAAACAAAGAATGTATTGGTTTTACAATTCCGTGTGTTTTTATTTTTTTTTCATGTATGAAAACACTTTTTCGGTTAGATATACTGGACCAAAAGTTTCATATAGCAACTCTCTAAATAGGAAAAAAATCCCAAGATGGTACTTGAGAAGTCATTTTTCAAATTTCTCAATAGTTTTTCCATACGTAGGCGTAAAATACCGAAAAACAGACAAAAACGGAGAAAATGCCATATTCTGGATTTTCGTGTAATCTATTTTAGTTTTTTTAGCCATAACTCCATCAATAATGGTGCTAGAAACTTTAAACTTTTATCAACTACTAAAAATCGTCACACGTATACTCATTAAAATTTTCAAAAACATTTAACCAATTTTGAGCTAAATGTAGCACTTTGTAAATATTGGAAATTTCTCGTTTTTTGTGAGTTTTTGCTTCGTACAATTTTAACCTTTGGATATAAAAAACTGAAAATTTAATACAATAATACTCATATGTAACGACGATAAACGACGATATAACGACGATGAAAAAATATCGATAATCGTTAGTCACAATTTTTTTTTACAAGCGTTTAAAGTTTTCATTTTGACGGAATTTTTTTATTTTATAAAAATTTACTATCCACTGAGTTTTACTCAAAATTGTTTTTCCGAATACTAAATAAAATACTATACAACTAAACTATCGTAAGCCAGGTGATCTCTTAGTAGAAAATGCTATACACTCATCACCAGTATCTTTTTAACTATACCAACTTTTTTTTAATTATTTTTTAACATAATTAGATATAACAATGTTAGATGTAATTGATAACAATATGATAACAATATTATTACTATTTAATAATATAGATATTTGGCGGTATTTTCAAATAAATCAATCGTAAAGCTTAATTTTAATACAGGTTCTGAATTCATGTATAGAATGCTTATATGCAATGGGTCGTCAAAAAGGTCGGACGATAACGACCTTGCTCAATCGGGTATCACGGCGCTTGGCCGAGTAACTCGCTTTGCTGCTTGACCGGATGAGTGTCTACATACGTTTTATTCGCTGGGCCGAGCGAAAAATGAGTTCACTACGCGATCTACTCGGCTGGCGGTTTACACACGCCGAGTACAGTCAACTTTAGTAGTGCGAGTAGTCGCTCGGCCGAGTTAATAGAAACGGTTTCTATTTACTTGCTCGTTCATTTTACAGGGCTGAGTACTGGTTCGTTGATGCCTTGTTTACACGTAAACTAAGAACCTAAGAGGTAGCCCATTTGGCGAGAAACAGTCCAATCTGACAACACTGCTTCAGGTACAGTGACTACTCCCTTTGGTTATTGGTTTGTAAATATCGTTTGCATCGGCTCTTGACCTGATCAAATCTCTTTTTTTTCTCGAATTTAGAACATTTCAGTTGTCTACTTAATTGAACACATGCATCGTTGATTTGTTTCCTGTCTTTGTGGTACAAATGCAACGGGTCTCATATAACGGGTTCATTTTGGTATAACTCCAAAAACTTTAACGTAAATTCATTGGACCAGTCAACGAGAACGCACGAGTATGAACTAGGTGTTCTAGTTTTCGCATCTCGAATGGCCTCGTGTCATTTGACATAAAAACAGCCTTTCGACCGAGCGCCGTCGAGGCGAGGCAACACGAGCACAACGTCTAGTTCACTCTTGTGCTGGGTTGCTCTCGTGATGTCTCGGCGAATGTTTCTATTATGAACAAACCCCACCGGAAAAAAAATATTTACTGCGTTATCTAGCGGTTTCCAACAATACACTTCTCTTATCATAATCAAAATAATTTGTAGGTTGGGTTTTGTTGTTAGTTACTGATCCTGTAAAGTACCAGATAAAGTATAGACAATTTTTCTTGATCCATGATTTAATTAATTAATTAAGTTCTTAGATATACATACAAGATTCATAAACTTTTAATAACGAAAAAATCTCCATTTTAGCTTTTAAATAGCGCAAGTTTTCCATGTTCATGTACCGATGATAATTTAGTAATTATTTTCAATTGTTTTCCAATGATTACCAGAGAAATATTGACTAGGTTTAACAATCTTAGATTTTTCAGAAAATATTCTGCGAACTGTAGGTATCTTAGTAATGATATCTGGGTAAATAATAATAAAATAATATTATTTTTAATCAATCAAATACTATTTTTCATTCTTGTATACTTTTTTTATTAATAGAATGAAGAGTTGTCCATAGATCTGAAACGTAAAATTGAGAAACACTGGAAAGATAAGCTATGTTTAGGTACATTTGATAGAAATAATGCTGGAAAAAAATTTTATGTTTTGTCAATGTTTCCTTATCCATCTGGTAATTTACACATGGGCCATGTTCGGGTGTATGTTATAGCAGATTCAATTGCCAGATTTCATCGTATGAATGGACAGAATGTAAGTTATTATTGTATGATAAAAGGTTTTTTTTTTTTATTTGAAATAAACAATCTATATCTTAGGGGAACATTAAGTTTATGTGGTTAGTGTAGAGTACATACGAGTACTATTAATTTTATTAATCACATGCAGAATTAATAATATATTTAAATATTTACAGACAATGCTTGATGTGAGAAGTCAATTACTAATGACATTTATTGAATTAACTTTACTTATGTTTTTTTTTTTTTAAATTATATTAATTATACTGGTAGAGAATCTGACTTTGGATTAGCTTAAGGGAAATGAAAGGGGGGGGGGTTAAACATGTTATAACACCTTTTTCTTTTCAAACATCTGGGTTGGTTACTAGGATTAGGAGGGACTGCAAGATTATGTATTAGAGGGTCGCTGTTAGTGCAACACGATTGCGCACTTTCTACCTTTTTACCTGAAAAAAATACAAAACCATTGCGCACTTTCTACCTTTTTATATGTATAATATTTTTTATATATTATATAGCAAACAACAATACGATTGGGCACAAAATGATATTTGTATATATAACTATGTATATT